CACATAGGCTGGCGAGTCGGACACTGGAATGGCAGGACCTATGAGCGGCGTCAGAATGGGAGTCAAGTTAAATATGAGAATTCGAGGCACTTACTCAGGATCACTTCCACAGCACCTGTGAGCTTCGATTTCACATCTTCCGTACCCAGATAAACACGAGTATGGGTGGAAACTTCACCATATCCTCCCCAGTATTGTTGCTCGAAGCCCTGCAGGCCCTGCAGGACATTGAGGCGAAAATAGGTATTTGGACTGCTGCGAAATCTGCGTGCATTGTTCTCATGTATCCGTTCACAGTCAGCTGCAATACTTTTCAGGGTCTTGGCAAAGGCAGTCAAACTTGGGGATCTCGGAATCTGGATGGTGTCAGGATGGCCACTGCCAACACTGACCACAAGGACAACAGCCTGTGAGGGGTACATCTTTTCAGCTTCTGCCACCACCAGGGAGGTTGGGTTGTTGTTCCAAACACCTCCGCCAATGTACTTTGGCCTCACCCCTCCCCAACCAATTTCCATTGGTTTGAAAACTCCGGGTGTGGCAGAGGTGGCCCGTGCGGCCTCCCATATCTTGCAATCGAAGGCCGGCTCCTCTGGTGTGTCGTATGAGCGAAAAAGTTGAGGAATACCAGCATTCAGATTGCTTTCATGCATGGCACACACAAAACTGGGGGTTGCATCCAGATAAGTGTAGTTTCTTTTGATGACAGATAATTCCACGCACGTTTTGCAGGCATGTGGGCTGACATCTCCCATCTTTTCTTCTCGAAATATCTGCCTCAGTGCGGCTTCCAGCTGGCTGGCTTTGAACTTCTCGGCAGATCCCCTTTTGGACTTGGGTCGAAGCTTCTCATAGGCCGAAATAGAAGCAGAGATCGACATGCGGAGGCGGCCGAGCATCAACGCGATGATCCTGTAAGTCACATTAGTTTACCGCATTTTCCAGGAAATAACACTCACCCTCCCATACCGCTACCTCCGATAATCTCAAAATAGTCACATGGAGCAAGAACCGTGTCGGAGCGGAGGGTAGCCTGCACTTGATACATAATTCGCTCAAGGATGAGTAACTCAGACAGTGCTCCTGCTCCACCGCCATCTGACCAATCATGGGGGTCAATGCGACTTCAAGCTGAGTGGGACGAGGGAATTACCCAGGGACAAGACTCTCACCCCTTTATGAGGGGCATTTGTGTTCGACATTGCTGTGGATCCGAGTCTTTGCTCCTCTGATAGTGTACACAGTTGGTGAATGGGAGGTCAGAGAGGAGCTTCGGGGGAAATGAGAGGGACGTGGCCAATGCTTGACTATTTGTGTCTTCACGAAGCTGTGGCATCTCACCGGTTGCCGGTCACTCAAGGACATGTGGCTCTTCATGTCCTACACCCCGGGGCTTGGTACCTGCCCACGGATATTAGGCGTGCATTCCACACTTTTCATTTGCCGTTGCTGGACGTGATGAATGTGGAAGCTGTTGGCATCAAACGTGTCCGAGGCGTGGCTAACAGGAGCCACGTTTAATAATGGTGCCTACTATCGGTTATCTGGATTCTGCCGCTATCTATTACTTGACTAAATTTTCAAGCTAGTGCAGTGACAAACATGTTCGAGGCGTGGTCAGTCCATGTTGCCCTGACGCTTTACCGATGTCCACAGGGTGAAATGGGGTGACATGTAAGATATGACCGTGGGATGCGGGCGTCTATCTATGTTCGTCATAGTGCAAATTAAATGGGCAGATCGGTGGTGTAGACCACGACTGCACATACACCCCTCCTACCCTTTACCTTGCGTATTGTGTATGGCATGGCACCTGACTTCTAAGCAGGTGCTTTGATGTCGCGGGCATGCGTATACCGCCCAATCACCTTATCGCCACTTTTGTTAGATAATCGTAATGGGCGCAAGTATCAATCATTTACGCCTCTCCTAAATTTAGAACCCCCTGCCGAACCAAGATTACTTGGAAATCGTTGACTTCCTTATCTATCTCAGTGCCCTGCCAGATGAGCGACTCCGCGTGTCGCTTAAAGTCCTACTCAATAAAAACAACCTACATCTCCTTTTATTTCACCGTGTCCCTACGCAAAGGGCGAGCGGGTCTCCTCTACGAAGACTCATCTCACGCGGCCTCGATGCGTTAATTCCGTGCGTTAAATTAACTAACCTACTTATTAAGAGCAGGAGCGAGCTATCCCACTCCACGAAGACCTGTTGCCCCGGCTACATGTACACGATTCGCCTGAGCGATGTGTCGACAGAGAAAAAGGCGAGAGGAATGCGGAACGCTCTCGGGTGGATTCGAACCACCGCCTCTCCTGGTTATGTAACAGGAACGAACCCCGCTCCGCGAAGACTTGCCTGTGGAGCTGCGCCGCCGCTCACGCGGTCACTCATCGGGAATTCTACACGCTGAAAATGGATTGCAGGTAGGACCTGTGGATTATAAAGCATGCCGCGCATATCCACGAGGGCTCAACTTCAGCCGCCCGAAGCACCAAATATGAACCCAAGACACCGAGCTCAAGCGTAGAGATAAAGGCGACAACGAAGACTCCGAAAGAATATGTACAATACAGAGGCACCCACAGGGCCGCAATGAAGATAGAAATACAGGGCGCGCTGGTGAGGATGCCATGAGGATTAGGCTCGCGCGCTAAGGAGGAGCGGCGGCCAGACGAAGAGGGCGCGAGGAGGCGCCCCAGCGAGAATAGACGAACGAACGAACGCAGGCAGCGGCAGAGGAGACACGAGAGACGAACGCAGCGGACAAAGGAGAGCCAAGTCCGCAGGATTGGCACAGGAGGGCAGACACAGCGAGTCGGAGACTTGGGATAGCCAGCGCGCAGGGAAGCTCGAGACAGAGGACGAGCACGGGATATCTGGTACGCAGGAAGCAGAAGCAGGGCGGAGGGACGAATCCGACGAGGCCGAGATGGAGTCCCAGAAGGCAGCGGCGCTAGAAGTACTAGAGGAGCACTGCGTCGAGTAGGCGTAGGAGCAGGAGGTGCGGCACCGCCCAGTGGGAGCCCGAAGCTGAGCGGGCGTCCTGCGCCCACAGCGTTGCTCGGCGGCACGGAGGAACTCGTGGGTGCCGTCGTCGCTGTGCTCGACCATACTCGAAGTTGGAGCCCGAGGCCGACGAGACGGAAGAGGGTGCGGAGGAAGAGCGCATGAACGACGCAAAAGGAGATGGACATGGGATTAGTGGCGGCGGCGCAGAGCTGCTCGACGAGCGCCTGCGCGGAGGGGAAGTTTCGGCGGGGCACGTGGTGAGGCATGCGAAGAGGGAGGCGGCGTAGGTTTTTGCGCTGCGCAAGGGGGGAAGTCAGCGGCGCCGCGGAGAGTGAAGGGAGGGGAGGGAAGAGGGAAGAGTGGAGGAGGAACGCACTACGATGCGACGCAGCAGCAGCTCACCGCGACCTCGGAGGAGCAGTTCGCGGCGCGGCAAGCCCGATGGCAGTGACCCACATGTTAATCTCCATACGACGAAAACGAAGCAGCGCACGCACCGCTCACGGAGGGCAGCGCCGCCGAGTTGGTCGGCGGGCCAATTGAGCTGCTGCTTCCACTTGCACTTGCGCTGCCACTTGCGCTTGCGGCACTGGGCGTGGATGACGAGAACGCGGTACGGGTGCCGAGCGCGTAGGTAAGGGCGCAGGAGGAGTACAGGCGGAAGGTGCATCGTGCAGGTGTCTGTACCTGCAGGCGTGCGGAGTGGTGGCGGGAGAGGAGAAGCTGCGGTAAACACGCGACGACAGGCGGAGGGCGCAGCCAAGCATGCGCAAATGAGCTCCTGCTGCGCACGGCCATGTCGACCCGCCTTGGGTGTGCTTCGGCCACTCAACACCGCACGGGGAGTGCACCCAGGATCTTTTTTGGCGATTTCTGCGCGCACTTCTCTGTCTTTCGGGGCAACCACTCGAACGGGAATTCTGAGGACTGAATCTGACTCGGAAGTGTTTGGACTCTTTTTCTCTATCGAATCTCTCGTGATCACACTCAGAGCTGGGCTCCCTCCATCGCGTCCCGGCCCTCCCACGTCCTTGCAGTTCGCACTCCGCTCGCTCGGTCGCTGCGGAGATCTCAGATCGGCGCTCGAAAAAAAAAAATCCATCTACAACGCGCCCGGGTGTACCTTACGCGGCGCGTGCAGCTCGAACACCCCACGTCCCTCGCCCTGGGTTCGTCTGGCAATGCGGCGCGCATGCGCCGCTGCGGACGGCCATGTCTTGGGCGTGCTTCGATGATCTAGGCCCGCGCGGGAGGAGTCCATCCATCCCGGCGTTCGAATTATGTCTGTGTCTTTCCTCCGGGGCACCCACTCGGATTCTGATGCTCTCCTACCTCAGTGTTCTGTCTGTTGAACCGCTTATCACTGGGCTCTCCCCTCCTCCTCGTTGTCCCGCATCGCATCCCTCCACTCCCTCGGCGATCTCAGGCCCTGGTCTGCGCTCAAACACGCTCCGTTTGCTGCGGCCGCGCGCCTCTTTCTACCGCGCTAGAACGCTGATAGTGATACGTCTCTCCCCGACGACGCCGACTGCGCTATCTGGTCTACGGAATCTTAATAAGGAATACATGTCCAGACACTCATATGTTATATATATCCAAGCGCCGCAAATCGTCTTCCCGCTTCTGCTTCCGCGTCTGCGTCCGACATCAACTTGTCTTGGGCTCGTTGTCAACGTGTCATGGCATCTTTCTCGATTTGTCTTTGACTCTTCGCGTTGTGTCGCGCCCCGACTTGCTCCTCCTCTCTGGAGCCTTCTTCATTCATTCAGGCTCGCGCTCATCCGCCTCTCCTCTCGTCCAACAATTTTACACCAATGTACAGCAAATCTCTGCATCCCGTGCCACTCGCGCGCCCTAGCCCTCCGCTCGCTTTCTCCGCCCATACGCACGCACACGCTCCTCGCCTGAAACAACCGAGGCACGCACTTCGCCTGCACAAAACGAGAGCATTCCGCTGAAAAAAAAACAATTGTGGGCAGTTCGCATGCCTCCGGGCGGGCTCGAACCGCCGGCTCTCCCGGATTCCTTTCTCCATCCTTCAAACGCGGGAGCGAGCTTTGTTGCTCCACGGAGGCTTTGAATCAGATGTATCTCAACGAGGGCTTATTTTGGTGTCTCAGGCTGGCTAGGCGTGCAGACGTTACACTGATCCAATGAGAAAAAGGGCTGCAAATTAAGCCCTCTAATGTCATCGGGCGGGTCCGAACCGCCGGCTCTCCCTCCGCGTAAGTAGATCGGAGAATCACTACAGGGGAGCGAGCTATCTTGTCCCACGAAGACTTAGGTCGGTGTTCGCGCGGTCGGCTAGGTGTGCGTCTTAGATTTGCCTGACCAATGCTTTGATTGAGAAAAAGCATGTACAGCATTGCCAAATGTCCTCGGGGTGATCTACTGTCATTCCATCAACACTCCAAACTCCTCTGCTATTGGCGGAAGCGAACGCCATGCTCCACAAGAGCTGTTTCGCCATCCACGAGGCTGTATAGCTGCTGTCGACCCGCCTCTCGTTTTCTCCTCGGCTTTGACCCGGCCACCGCACGGTAAAGCATCAACCTTTCCCCGATTCCTCCCGTCCGTCCGCCCTGTGGCCAGGCCGTCTCCCCGCTTTTATTTGAATCTCTAGCAACTCGATTTTTTTTTCTCACTTTCTCAAGATCGGAAATCTGTGATTGTCTGGCAACTTGAGTGTAGCTCTTGTGTGGCGAATCCCTCATCTTGCGCTACATCGCCTCATGCATATGGCTCGCCTGCTGCACTGGGAGCTGCGGTTCGGTCTTCAGGCTTCAAGTTTCCCGGGCCCCCACCTCGCCCTAAGGCGCTGAGTCCAGTTTTGAGCGATCGAGCATATGGGACGTTTCTCAGGCTATGCTGGCGCGCGGAATTTCTGGCGTGACGCTCGTCCTCACTAAGCTGCGGAAAACATCTTCAACTCGCGGGAGCGAGCTTCATTGCTCCACGGCGGCTCATTTCCGTGGATTTCGGGTGCGATAGGTATGCGTCTTATGGACCTGACCAACGTGTTGGCTGAGAAAAAAGTAGATGTGGGAATAACATATGGCGGTATATTATGTGACATCTATCAGGTTCAGCTCGCGCCTTTCCGCTTGCTCGACTTCACTGAAAATAATTCAAAAAAGCAAACGAGGGAATAGCAAATGCCTCCGGGCGGGGTCAAGCCGCCGGCTTTCCGTTAATTGACGGGAGCGACCTTGCGCCACGGAAGCGTGCATGTGGATACGTGCGTCGATTCTGTGCGCGACATCCTGATTGACGCACGAACACCAAGGTAAGTCCAACCAGAACCACCGTTTCTCCCATATTCAACGTTTTAAATTTTCCACATAACATGTGGGAGTAATAATCTGGCCGGCTCCGCGAATACGAATTTAGCTGTCTGGAGGCTGACTCGGGTAGGCGCAAAACACTTTTATACAGTTCTACTAGTACTCTACTAGCCTATTTATTCGTACTATGTCAGGCCCCGCTGCAAAAAAATGGCCGCGACATGTTACTTATGTCTTCGGGTGGGATCGAACCACCGTCTCTCCCGCAAATGTTCAGTACGCGACACAATCGGATGGGAGCAAGTTCCATACTCCACGAAGTCCTGCGATTCGACTAACCCCGATGCGCAGTACATGTCCACCCCCAACGGACGAAATCCTGATTGTACTCACAGTGCTGTTCGCACAGATTTTGGAGGGATGTACTCAGTCCCGGTGCCTTCTAGTGGAACAAAAAATTAATGGAAAGTTCATCGCGAAATAAAGATGTCCAATGAATTGGGAGCCGAAATGTCTTCGGGTGGGTCCGGTGGGATACAACCACCTCCTCTCCTACGGATCAAGCATTCTACACTATTTCGTGGGAGCAAAGGATACTTCCCGAAGATCTGCGCTCTTTATGTTCTATTCACTGCGTTAGCAAAAAAGGGCGGACTCTTAACTAAATGTCTTCGGGCGGGAACCACCGTCTCTACCAATTGGAGTCGAACCACCGTTCCTCCCCCGAATTTCTTCAAACCCTCCAATCACTGAGCGCAAGTTCCATACTCCACAATGATCTGCATGCAACCCTGGTGGCCCGTCTAGATGTACCGCCAAATTGGCTAATTCGCTCGTGCCGTTTCAGACTACTTCCATGACTCGCCGATGGAGGTGAGCCTGGGGAGCACATATTACCCGTGGGAACCTCCACTCGGTGGAGGATGTGATTTAATTTCCAGAGTCTCCGGTTTCGCCCCGGGTTGAGAACTTCCATTTGATGCGCAACGGAATGCGCCGAATTGTGAAACGAATTGATTTGGAGGCGATCGCTGCTGTATGGAACCCGTCAACGGGCCCGCGCAAATGGCGAGAATACCTAGCCTATATTTATAACCCTCATACCCGTCCTCCAAATACCACGCACAACTGAGCTGCAGGAGCAATAACCCACAGCTCTCTCGCGCTGTACACAGTTCTTGGGAGCGTATAATTTCAGTGCTTGAAATAACGGTACCCACAATTTGATTCATCCCAAGTGTGAATTTCCCAGTTTAGTTTAGTACTTACATACAGGATTACATGAGGTGAGGCGAAAGATTCGATATATTACTGCCGTACAATTATTTAGCTAGCGTACATTTGGCACGGGGTATGAACGGCGCTCAGGAAGGAGGTGCGGGTGCGTAGTATCTAAGGCAACTCAGCAGCGCGAGCGCTCCGCCGACCCCATGATTTCCGCTTCTAGACTATATCGAGGTTGTGCGTCGGAAGCTCAGACGAATGTTCAATGGGCCTTGCCATCGTTCGTACACAAGAATGTCCGCCCCCGGGCGGCTTCCTGTAGGTATGCCAATTGATTCACTACAACTTTGAGGATGACGATTCCAGAACAACTTAGCCAAAGAGGCGAGAATCGTGAAAATCTTTGCCCCGTAGATGAGGGATACCGCGTCGATGAATACGAACGACGGCACATACCGGATCGAATCGACTTGCACTCGGTGTCGATCGGTAGAACTACAACTTCTCCGCATGGGTCATCATAATTGAGTCACCTTGATATAAAAGCGGAATTATTGGACAGGACTACCCACCCAACATCGCACCACAATGAAGGCCTTCCTTCTTCATCTTCCGCAGCGCTCGGGGTTGCAGCCGCCGCTTCCCTCATCCGCCCCGCGACAGCCGCGACTCAACTTGGACAAGGTCTGCATCCTTGATTTCCTCCCTTCCATCCTCGTACTGACCGTCTGCGCCGCCTTACAGCGACACTGCTCGACCCCACCGCCCCGTCTAACACGCGCGGGATCCCCCTCTCCGCGGCGGACTTATACGCCGCTGATCTGTCGCTCGCCTGAGGGGACTCGCGCTGCGGGGATACGGCCAATGGAGGCTCTCCGCTTACACCAGGCTGACTTCTATCCAGTCGGAGAAACCTCTGAACCTCACCGTTGCGCTTGCGTGCCTTCTCTGCGGGGAAGTGGAGATTGGGACGACACAGGCGGCGTATACCCGGTGGGGCCGCTTACAGTGCCGTGGGAGTTCGTATGAGCGACGAAAACTCATTCAGAGGATACATTGTCTGGAATATGGAAGAGTACTTGATTGCGATGATTTCCCCGACACTCGGGAATTCACCGCGCTAGTCAGAGTCTGAATGTGTACCTCCAGCATAAACTGAGCTAGGACCCAAAAAAGATGCAGGGACTCCGCACCCCAAGTCCTAATCGACGTGAGGGAGTTTTTTTTTTTTTTTTGACTGAGGCCACCACGGGGATACGCCGAAGAGTTGATGGATGGATAACAGCAGTTGCGAGTGGAGTCCCTTTCTGAGACTTTGACGACATTTCGTCTTAAGAGTAACACGTGCGAGTGTGTCCAGGAGAGTTTTTAAGTAAGCTGCGGGACATTGGCTAGGTGGGCGTTCGTGGAGGTCGTCGCCCCCGCAGCCGGAACAACGAGTTCTCAAGCAGTCGTTGAAAACGACCGTGTCCGTAGCGAGGGATATTTGAGGATGAGGGTGATTACCTTGCCATCAGGACACGATAAGTGAGGTGTCAGAGGGAAAGGAAGCTTCTGGACTTGCGCAGAATCGAGCGTGTCGTTGCGCAGATGGCCTGGCGGCGGAAAGAGGTGATGCCTCGGAATAGATGGGATGAATATTCGACATGAACCGACAGCGCGGAAGCGGTGAAGCAGTCAGATTTCACCAGTGTGCCGAACAGCCAGTCCCACGAGAAGAACCGCGAACAGAACCGCAGCGATATCGACTCCTCCAGCGAGGAGGGTCACAATTACAGTAGCTCCAAAAGAACCGTATTCATCATTGATCTTGGAAGCGAACCAAATGGTGGAGAAAAGCGCAAGACAATGATGGAAGAGTTGAAGGAGGTCTTTCGACAGACTGCGTAAAGGCTCGTCGTGGTTTGGAAGAGAGAGTGTCACGGCATGGTCACATAGTGCCAGCGCAAGCGCGAATGGGATGCCGACCAACTCAGCGGCGCCGCCCTCCCTGAGCGGGATCTCCTAGTGCGGTGCGTGCGCTGAATTCTCCCTCCATTTCACGTACTAATAATTCGGAAATGGGCGCAGTGGCGAACTGCCTGGGCTTCGCCGCCGCGGCCGCGAACTGCTCATCTGAGGTCACCGTCAACTACTTCTGCGTCGCCCTGCTGTGCGACTCCTCCCTCCCTCTCCCCCTTCTTCTCTATTCCCTTTAGCCCTCTGCCGCAGCGCAAAAACCTATGCCGACTCCCTCGTCGCTTGCCCCACCGTGTGCCCCGCTGCCGAAGTGTCCTCCACCGAGGCGCTCGTCGAGCAGTTCTGCGCCACAGCAACGAAGCCCACGTCGCTCTCCTTCCTGTCGTTGACCTCCGCCTCTTGTCTTCCACCGAGGCGCTCGTCGAGCAGTTCTGCGCCACAGCAACGAAGCCCACGTCGCTCTCCTTCCTGTCGTTGACCTCCGCCTCTGCCTCTACATCCTCAGTGTCGGGGTCCGCCTCCAGTATCGTGGCCTCGACGACGGCACCCACGAGCTCGTCGCCGCCACCGTCGACGACGAGTAGCGCCACATGTCCGCTGGGGGTGGG